TTCGGAGTGGGTGCTATTATGCTTCTGACTGGGAGGATACACAACGTAATATACATATTACATATTACATATTACATATACATACATATACATTTGTGAAATACATTTCACAAATCTAAACAATCCCATCCAATCTTCGGATCTCCTCGGAGAGTATATAAAAACGTTGAATCTCCGCTGGGGTTTGCTTTCTGCTGTTCTTTCTTTTCGTTGGTTTTTTTTTGTCTGTTTTTGGTTTTTGGTTTCTGTTTTCTTTTTTTTTTTTTGGTTTGTTGTGTTTTCAGTCCCTCCTCGCATCTGTTTTTTCTTTTGCATGTTTCTTGATGAGTGTGTAGGAGCTGTCGAAGAGCTTTATTGAAAACGGGACAAAGGAGTAGCGGCGGCGATCCAAGGATACACCATGCAGCATCACAGCATGCAGGAGGGATGGGTTGGGTGGGAGGGGGTTATTGTTTTTATGCCTTCGCCAAAGTCAAGCAAGCTCGTTAGGCATGGTCATGACACACACACACACACACACACACCGATGCAGACCTATGCACACACGCACAATATGCTCTCTCGCCATGCAAATGAAGTTAGTTTTTGGTGCAGGGCAGGCACAGGAAAAACAACAAAAAGCTCATTGCTATGAACACACTTTTGCAGCCAGCCAGCCAGCCAGCCAGCCAGCCAGCCAGCTCCATGGAGCTAGCGATGCGTGCCCCGCACTCCTGGAAACCCAAGACCCAGAGTAAGCAGCACCGCCGCCCGTTAGCCAGTGGATTCGTTAGGCAGGCCAAAAACAGCAGCCAAAGAAGTCAGCCAGTCGGCCAGTCGGGCAGCCCGAAGAACAGAACCTGTAGATTTGGCTTTTAAAAGCACATTAAAGAAAATTGTATACGTATTGCCCTTCTCTGGGCAGGCCAGAAAGAACAAATTGAAGAAAAACAGAAAACAGAAACGAAATATTGCCAGTCTCGGACCGAATTTAAAGATACCCTTGCAAGTCCCTGCAAAAAACCAACGATAAATAGATAAACAGATAATAGAAACTGCGTAACTGCCACACATAGAAACAGTTATGGGAATAGTCAGACATGCCTCCATCGAGCTGTGTGTTTTTGGGCGACATCTTCATTAGGTTTATTTCCATTGAAAACAATTTATTCGATTTTATTTTATTTATCATTTGTCGCAATTTCTTAAATTGACAATTCAATTTCCAGTCGAGACATCGATCCTGGTAAGCTTCTGCCTTTCGATTCAGCCCACATGTTCCGACTTGCAGCGCTCCTCCTTCTGCCAGCCAGCCATCCAGCCAGCCAGCCAGCCAGCAGGAAAGGCAACCAAATCGGCTTTGGTTATTTTTGGTTTCCTTTAAGACTTGCTTCACCCTTGGTCCTCTCTTGCCCCTCCTCTCTTGTGTGTGCCTGTTTGTGGGTGTGTGTAATCTTACAATTTCTAATCGTTCAGATTACATGTGTTTCAGACTTTTTAAATGCAAATTGAACTTGTTAGCAACCGCAACACAGAGCAGAGGCCAAACCACTCAAATGCACACACACACACACACACACACACACACACACAAAGATACACATCCTTATGCATTGTGTGTGGATGTGTGTGGGAGCAGCCATTAAGGAAAAAAAACTCAGTTTGTCGCCGCAAGAAAATATAAGAGCAACAAAACGCTGCAAAGACATTGCTTGCCCCTTAACATTTTTTTTTGTATTGAATTTATGTAACGATTCTAAAAAGGGAAACACATATGTACGCATATGTATGTATGTATTTCTATTTATCCTGCATTATCCTATAATTGTCATGGGAACAATGGATCGAGCGGGATGTTCTTTCATCGTACTCTTAGATCGATCCACATTGGTACATCACAAAATACTTCTTCTCTTTCTTGCCAGCCTTAAGTGAGTTGTTGGCGCTGCCACACTACAGCCCGTACATACGTACTATTGCAGGCGATGGCGGCAGTGGGCTCACTGCTGTGTCTCAGTGAGTGGTGCAGAGTGGGCCGTCATAAACAATGCTGGTTTTTTTTATTTTTGTTAGAACGGTATGAGTGTGTTGGGGGGGGGGGCACTAGCACTGCACTTTGTCTTTAGCCACTCGCGACAAGGCCAAAGGGAAATTCATCAAACGTGACTCTGAGTGTGACGCACTTCTACCACAAGCTCTTGGCCCGAAACTTGGCCCTCTCCATCATGAACCACACCCCACCATCTTTTTTTTGCTGTCCATGTCTTGGCAGTTTTTCCTGTGCTTTGTTGCCTATTTTGGCCCATGCCTGGCCAACTCTGTTAATTGCTGCTGACATTCGTGCTGGGCCAAGGCCTTCTCTACTCACCTGACTGCCTGAGGGTGTGTGACTTTAAGGAAATGTTTCACATGATTTTAGCTTTGCAAACAGCTGGTCACACTAATCCGTTTGATGTTTGTTGCGGCATCTTTCAGACTCTTTAGCTGCGCTTCGATGCCCATAATATTCCTGCTTGCAAATGTTAGGCCATGCCACATAAATGTTGGGACAGCACTGGTACTCGTGTTGGTATGCTTTTGTCATACTTTTTGGCCACACTGTTTAGTCACAGCATCCGTCACAGCATTGGCCGCATCGGCAACCCCCTGTATGTCCGTCTGCCTGTCTGTCTGCCTGTGTTTGTCTGTCACATTGTTGGCAACACTGTTTGCATGACTTTCTTGTTTGTTGGATGCTCTCCTCTCTCTCTATCGCTCGCTCGCCCCCCTTGCCATGTGTGTGTGTGTGTGTGTGCTTCCCGTGCAGTTTTCCTTCATTTGGCCTTGGCTTCAAGTGCAGCTCAGTGGTGGTCCTTTTGCTTCCTGGTGCCTCATCTTTCCGCTCTTCTATTTTTGATTCTTCTTCTACTTTGGCTTCTGTTTCTCCTTCTCCTTCGTCCAGCTGTTTGTCTAACAATTGAAATGTCATGCAATAAATCTACCCCACACACACGCACACACACACACACACAGACGCATACGGATATCCCCCACATGAAGGAGGGAAGAAAGCAAGAGGTAGAGAGAGCTTGGGTCCCCCATCCTCAGGCCCAGCCCAGGCTTTTCAACAACTTTTCACATTTCCACATTTTTGCATGAACTTTTTGACGATGTCAGATAGTTTTGTGCCCGTGCGCCATTGTTTGAGAGTGCTGCTGCTGCTCTTCTGCTTCTGCTGCTGCACACCGAGAGGGGGCAGGCCTCTATGCAACGGGCGTGGCTGCAACGCCTACGGTGCATCAGCATCAAGTGCGTCAGCAGCAGCACCACCACCAGTGCCACCAGTACACCCAGAATAACTGCAACTACAACAAGAACTACAACGGGAACCAGAACGAGAACTCATCGCATTCATTATGATTTTTAGTTTTCGTATTCGTTTCTCAATGGGCACAAGGGGCAGGCCATGGGCCCCCAGGAACGTCTGTGGCACGGGCTGTGTACGGGGCGAGTATGTACGTATACTCGGGTGAAAAGTTTGACTTTAGGGCGTAATTTCATTGCAAAATATTTGCACAAACACAGAGCCACACACAGACACGCCAAAGAGGCAGTGAGAGGCGAGTGAATGCTTAATAAATGCTATATACATTCATGCAACATTTTCCTTATTGTTGCAAGAGTTAACGCAGCAGGGGTAGGAGACAGGAAAGCGTAAGGCCAACTGCAAAAAAAAAAAATATAGACAAAACATTCATAATTTTGTTTGCATTTTTTATTCGTAGTATTCGTACTCAGAAGTATATTTTTCCATCGCTCTTCTCTCAAAACTATGCATAACTTCGTATTTGTTCGTATTGTATGGCTGCAAGCGCCCTCTCCCCCTCCTCCTACACACATTTGCACAAACACACAGAGGGTGAGTGAGAGAGACACACACACACACACACACATGCACGAACATGCTTGGCTTGTACGTTGCCTTTTGCATTGCATACTTTTGTGCGCAACTTTTTGTCCATTTAAAAGGCGAGAAATTTGTCGAATTGAGCAACAAAGCGAATCGAAATGGATACCAGGCGAATACCAACACATTCCGAGTAACAATAATATTTATAATTACCATTCAATTCAACACAAACTCAAATACAAATATTGAGAGATGCAAAAAGCAATGCCATATTTCAATGAAATGTATATAGTATATATATATATATACACGACATTAATTTATTTAAAGGTTTGGTTTATATGGGAAATAAGTAGGGATCCAACATATAACTGTATTTAACGATTCCCTGATTTTTATTCTGCCTTCTTAGGGTATCTACACCTCGTTGTTACCACTACCCAAATGACTGGGCTTGTGTCTATTTTTTAAGCAGTTTCTCCACACTCACCTGACACCTCTGGATTGGCCATACCTTTACGCAGGCTTCCTCACCCCGTGCATTTTTGTTTGGTTTCTGTACAATTCTTCTAATTGGCAGATACCTGAAGTGTGTGAAAAGGGTTGGCTGCCGTGTTGCTCCATGCTCAGAACTCAGTTAGTTTCGAATTTTCCCAAAAACTATGCTTGTCTACGCGTCCTGCCATCCCCATGTGTGTGTCCTCTTTTGTGTTAAGCCATCAAGTGTGAAAATGATTTGCTAACATTTGAGCAAAAAGGCAACTAGCACACATTTCTACCGCATTGTTCGAGTAAACAGTGGAGGAAGTGCAAAACATTATATTTCAAATTAAATGCACTCTTAACTTTTTCTTAGCAAGGGCTTTTTATATACGGTGCCCTCCAATTAGGCATTTCATTTCCAATACTACTTTAAAAGGTGCTTTACGTTTTGGTTTCATGATAAGACTGCTTGAGGGAGTGCGTCCACTGCTTTAGACAGTTATTAAGCAGCTTGGACCTCTTAGGACTGCTTGCACTGCTTGTATCAATGACCTACTTTTACTGAATTTTCTCTTCATTCTAATCTTAAATGAAAGCTACGAATGTTAAATATTTGCTGAAAACGAACTCCTTTCCTTTCGATTTGCAGCAACTATCAACAGATTCAGCATTTGGGCTATGCCGGACACGAAATCGCTACGGAGAGCATCTCGCAGCAGCAGGGCCTCCAGGACAAGGGCTACGAGGAGTGGGTCGGCGAAATGATTGGCATGCGTGAAATTCTGCGACACTTTGCCAATGTGTCCGTCAACGATGTGGTCGGCATGCGTGCCCCATTCCTTAAGCCCGGTCGCAACACCCAGTACAAGGTGAGTTCGTTGAGGTCGGGACCCCCGAATGCCAGAATGCCTGAATGCCTGCCTGAGTGCCTGCAATGCAGAAAAGAAATGCAAACAATGGGAACATCAATTGACATGCAATTTTCGATTGCATTTCCTTGAAATCAGAACCACAGAAGATCTGATCTGAAAACAGAATCGAAAAGTGATTCATTTAAAGCGGTCTGCGGCTCCAATATCAATGCCAATTCCCTCCCCCCTTTCACTTGCCACTTGCACAACATTCAATCGGAATTGAAAATGTATTCAATTGTTGACGCCATTCAACAGGCAATTCCAATTTCAGTTCACTTTTTCGGAGTCCAACTCCCATTTAAATGGAATAATTAAACTTAAAGCTCACACACAATTTGAGCAACGTTCCATTTTAATGATTTTATAATTAATTTATTCAGCTTCAAGAATGCGGCAAGAATCAACAGAGTTTTGTTTTTGGAGCTGCTTTTATCGCAAAGATATTGGAGTCCCAACCAAAGTCAAGGGAAGATCTGAAACATTATACTCAAGTTCAAGTGGAATTCAAAATATATTCAAATAACGAATGTCGAGCAGCGTTTATTCATTGATTTGGCTTTAAACCGAAATTAAGTTCGAAGGGAATTTGCACGAGGCAGTGTGGCAATGTGGCAATGTGGCCATGTGGCAGTGTGGCAGTGGCAGCCCTAGCCGTAACCTCAGCATGCCACACACGCACGTGCAAAGGCTTTGACTGAAGCGAAAGTTTCTGCTTGACGTGACATGACATGACATCAATGTCACAACACATATATAACGGTTCAAGTGGCCCATTATGTGGCAAGCTCTCCCTCTGCCCCTTGCTCGCTGAAAGGCGGAGGGAGGCAGGCGAAGCCATATCTTAAACAGATCTCCTTCTGCATATAATAGGATATGCTGGGAGTGACACACACACGCGCCCATCATCAGCGTGCCTGCAGATGAAGATAGGTTTCTCATCTCTGTGTGTGTGTGTGTGAGTCGATTGAATGATGGATCAACCTTCCACCAACCATGTTACCATATCGACTGATCCCATCTGCTTCCCCCCGCCCCGTACAGGTGCTAGAGGACTTTGGCTATATTTACGACAGTTCCATCACCGTGCCACCAGTAGCCGTGCCCGTGTGGCCCTACACCCTGGACTACAAGATCTCGCACGAGTGCAAGAGCGGTACATGCCCGTCGCGCACCTTCCCCGGCGTGTGGGAGGTGCCACTGAATACCCATTATGTGGAGGGATTCGAGGGCGGCCACTGCCCCTACATGGATCAGTGTGTGCTCCACAATCTGGACGAGGAGGAGGTGCTGGCCTGGCTCCAAGAGGACTTCTCGCGGTACTACGAACAGAACAAGGCCCCCTACATGATGCCATTCCACACGAACTGGTTCCAGACCAAGCCACTGGAGAACGGCCTGCACAAGTTCCTCGATTGGGCACTTGAACTGTGAGTATTACATTCATATATACACATATGTACATATCCCACAGAAGATCTAGTATTCTGGAAGAGAGTCAGGCAATCGAAACTTCAATGCCTTGAAAATGCCTTTTCTCTTGCAAAAAGTTGAATGCAATTTCTTGTCCATATATTTCAACTGATTTGAGCGGTATTTTGGCTTGGAGTTTCAACCAATTTTGTTATATGCATACGGCTCACAATTTTTCATAAATTTATATATCCTTTTGGGAGCAATTTTTTCGTTTCATTGCTGCGTTTTTCTGTGCTGTTTTTTTCGTCTGGTGTTTTCTTAATTGAAAGCCAACTTTTGAACACACTCTCTCTCTCTCTCTCTCCATCTCTATCTCTCGCTTTGTCTCTCTATCTCTGTCTGTTTCTCTGTGTCTCTCCATCTTTCTCTGGCGCACACACACACACACACACATGGGGCAGCTGGCGTTTCCTGCAGTGCACTTCCGATTGCCGCTGGCAAGTTTTATATTCAATTAAAAACAACAAAAAAAAAAAAGGCCAAGAGAGATGGAGAAACGAAAAGCAGGAGCTGGGAGCAGGAGCTGGAGCAGAAGAAACCCCAGAGAAGGGGGGGAGAAGCAGCAGCAAAATTGGCAATTGCCATAAAAATTGCTTGTAGAGGCGGCGGCACATGTTGCCCGTCGACAGGTTGAGCCCCGGACGGAGTCCACCGCACGAGAGCCCGATCCAACGGGCAGTCACTCAACCATATGCACAACTCTCGCCGGAATCTCAGTCCAGCTATCGCCCTCTCTGCGTCTCTCTCTCGTCTCTCTCTCCGTCTCTCTCTCCGTCTCTCTCTCCTTCTCTTTGACTTTCTCTCCGGCCGACAATGGCGACGCTGCGGTCAGCGTTTAAAAAAATCATCAGCAACAGCAGACGCTGGATGGACGCCCGGACCCACCCATGCCCTGGAACCGACCCCTGGAATCGACTCGAACCGACCCGACCCAGGGTTTGAGGATAAGGAGCGAAAAAATCGCACGTTTTAATGAGAAAAGTTTAATTTTGTTAAAGTTTCATTTTGAAAAATATCAGTGGAGGCCCAGGCCCAGTCCCAGGCCCTGACTGAACCAAGCAGCAGCAGCAGGAGCCGTAGCAGGAAGCAGGAGCCGGAAGGGGTGTAGAGGAGCAGCACCGTGTACAGGGAACAGGCACAGGCACAGGAGAAGAGCAGGCCAAAGAAAACAGAAAGGCCAACAAGGCAAGAGCATTAGAGGTCGGGGCTAACTAAAAAGCCATGTTAAAACGCACAAAAACAACATAAGTCAGAGCCGCCAACAGAGACAGCCAAAGCATAATGGAGAGAGAGAGAGAGAGAGAGAGGGGAAAGAGAGGAAGAGAGAAGAGAGGAGAGGATAGCAAGCGAAAGTGGCATACAGCAAGCGTACACCAAAAACTTGCTTAATGAAGTTATGCTGATAGAATCGCACTTTGTCAGCGCGCCCCCCGCATCATCGACATCACTCCAAGGAGCTACATCCGCTCCTTCCTGCTGCGTTGTGTGTTACGGAGTATATGTATGTTTTTTTGTGTGTTTGTGTGTTTGTGTGTCTGCGTTTCCAGATGGAAACATTTAACATGCTGGATTGGCTTAGATAAAGGCTCTACTGGCTAGAGTTAATATTTCTGCATCTACAATTATTGGTGAGGTAATTATTGGGCATAGGATCGAATGATTGTGGTGCCGGTTCGGGGAAGATGTCGAAGAGGTTCATTAGGGGATGGGCCAGGCAGGCTATCGTTGGGCTGCGTATGATCTAGTTCGGTTTGATTCGATTGTTTGGAGTTTGATTGGCATGGGATCGACTTACATGCTCACTGGCCTAATGGGTGTAGGTTGGGAGGGGGATATATAATAGATACATGAGACAACACGAGTTCCAGTCCCTTGCTTGTCAATGGCTACTATCATTATTTTTTCGCATTGGGAAGCCAAAGCAATCAGACGGATTAAAATGCCCTTTGTATGGGTAACAAAACTCAACTTTTTACTGTTGCCAGTTCGAAACCCAAGAAATGTTAACTTAATTTTCCACAAAATGGCAACACACACACCAACACACACACACAGCACGCATACTCGTACTCGTACTCGTAAATATCTGCACTTTCCCTCGCTCGGATTCGCACCTCATGCATTAGCTTACGAGAGAGAGAGAGGGAGAGGGACAGGGAGTGGGACAGGGAGTGGGAATTTAAGAGCTAGAAAGATCTGACCCACCCAGCACGAGGGGTACGAAGCTGAGTACTGCCACATAAATGGGGGAATGACGAGGAGCTCTCTAGCAAAGTGATGGGGGGTACGGTACGCATACGGCGTACGGCATACGGCGTACAGCAGCAGCTGCAAAACTATTTCTCGCACAATTGTGCGAAGTTTTTAATTAGTGTGAATGACTTTCAACATTGCGTTGGTGTTCAGAGGCTGATGCTGAGCTGAAGCTGAAGCTGATGCTCAAGCTAAAGCTAAAACTGTGGCTGTTGCAGGCTTTATGTAGTGGTGGGTGGCTGGAGAAGAAAGGGACGAGGTGTGGCTGTAGTGTTTGCATGGAATGCCTGAAAGTGCGTGCCACACCACTTTACTGCCATTAGTGGGAGGAGGCGCTCACAAGAATGCAGTAAAGTTTTCTTTTTTGCATCAACTTTCTGCCACTGGCACTGCCACAGGCTCTTGCCAGCCACTGTTCCTCATCATCATTCTCCAGTGTCCACTATCCACTGTCCACCATCCACTCTCCGGTTGTAGCATCATCCATTTGCAGGGTCCGGTGGCTGACACCTGTGTGCACTGTCCTTGTCTTAAGCAACTATAGACAGATAAGAAATATTTACGTACTCGGACTTTAATCCCTTCTTTCTTCTTTCTTTAACAGACCCGACGTCTACATCCTGACGGTGACCCAGACGCTGCAGTACATGACCGATCCCAAGGAGCTGCGCGACGTGAACCAGATCGAGTCATGGAAGTGTGACAAGAGCGTCGCCGTGGCCCCAAAGCCCTGCAACATATGGCAGACATGCGCCCTGCCGTTCAAGATACCCGAACAGAATCTGACGGACACCCGCTATATGGAGACCTGTCGCGAGTGCCCCAATGTCTATCCCTGGCTGGGCGATGCCGGCGGCACAGGCATCCAGGGTCAGGACAACTACATCTTCTCGGGTGCCAGCGGCGATGAGGCCGAAGATGACAGCACTGCCAACTAGAAAGTGTTTCAATCTTTCCTCCAAACCCCAGACCCCAAACCCCAAACCCTAAACCCCAAACTCCAAACCCAAACCAATCTCTTCTTTTTCTTTTCCCTCGACCAATAGCTTTCCCTCCTGTTTTCTTGGTTGTTTATTTTTTGTATTTTTTTTTGTATCGTTTCTCTTGTTTCCCTTGTGCTCCCAGTAATTTCTCACACACCCACACATGCCAGTCATGATGATCCAATAATGAGCTCCTCAGCTCATTCATTTCCACATTTTCCGCACCACCCCGCCCTGCCCCCCCTCAACTTTCTTATACGTATAGCTCTTAAGCGAAATTATGTCAGATTGTTCTTAGTTTATAAGCGACAAAATGTATGTAAAACCAATTTTTTTGTATGAATAAAATGATTATTTCCAAAAGAACGAAAATAATAATAAAAATAATTTGGTGGGAAATAAAACTCACTACAGCTGAGAAAGGTTGGTCTATTAATGCTTTAGAACATTGGCCGGCACGCACACACTCAAATGTTCTGCAGTGCGACTGTGTGCGTGCACTGCGGGCAAAACGGATCATTGTATCGGTGCCTTTTCCTATGCCCATTAGATAGGACCGTGCCGACCCCTGCACTAGAACTAAAAAACATATAAGAAAATATATTGCAGAGCCGGACCCGTCTTTCTCCATGGCTGTCAAGTTTACATGGTCCTGGTGCTGCTGACCCATTGTGGGCATTGATATTTAGAAGCTTTCTCCAGTTTTGACTCCGGAACTCCAGTTCCATGGTGGCAGTGGCAGTCTTAAAGATTTAGTTGCGTTCAGTCTTCGTCTCCGTCTGCCCGATTTTGTAGTCAGTCTTCGCCATTTTCCTGGACTTATTCCCAGAATGGCCTGCTCCATCAAACACTTTTCCTGGGATTGATCAGCGTGATACTTCAGTTCAATGGCAGACATAGCTGTCGAAGAAATGTTGAGCTCAGTCGATGAAGACTTCTTCTCCTGTAGAGCCTCGAATTCATAATCACTTGGCGGCTGCTCAATGAAGGTTTTCAGTTCCATGGCAGACATAGCTGTCTCGGAGCTGGCTCTGCACCTTTGCACGACTGCAGCCTCTATGTCTAAAGACCGAAAAGGAGATTACTTACGAGTATGCCAATGCACCCGTACATCCGTGTCACGTATCCAATCCACATTTACGCTGCTTCATTGGCCTGCGATCTGCGGTCTCGGCATCAAACATAACAGCCATTCGCACTCGCACTGCCGCATTGGCATTCGCATTCGCATTCACTGTGGTGCAGCCACCATCTACGGGGAGATGCATAAATACAACCAACAAATTTTCAATTACTTGTTTGGGATAATATTTTCGGGAAATGCAATCTGTCTGACTAACTTTATTCATTCATTTTGGGGGCTAGAAGCCCAAACAGCAGCAATGCATGTCCTGCTTCCTTTCCCCCACCCCAGCCACCACCACATGTGTGTGTGTGTGTGTGTGAAAGCGCCTGTTTGCTTGTGTTTGTAGTTTTGTTCCGAAAGACAAAACTTTTGCAAAACGATCAGAACGACGACGAACAACGGACAGAGGTAACAAACACTCATCTGTCCCCATCGCCCCCGCTGACTGCTCTTCCGTCCGTCCAGTGTTGGACAACTCCAGCTGGTTCCAGTCAGCAGGGACACCAACCGATTGAAATAGGAGAAAAAGTGATGGGCACTGAGTAATTACAGATATAAGCAGACGCAGTGGGGATATCCTGGACAATGGGCAGCACTCAAGATGTCTCTCACGGCTGCAGGTAGTAGCCGAAATGTAAATGCCAGAGATTGCGAAAAATCTTTCGAAGGCAAATCCTTCGTTTTGTGGCATTGAAGCCTGTTCTTTGGCTACCATGGGACTGGGAATAGTAGTAGGAAATGCTGTAACTTTGTCTGTGAGAGACTAAAGAACTCAGTCATCATGCTATATGGAACTAGTTCCGAGCTAGTTAGCCTGGAATTGCTCAACACTGGCGCGAGTCGAGCACATAAGAGTTTTAAGCGCCTTAAGCAATTCGCGTGCTGTCCCCTGTCCTTTGTTCCCTGTTCGCCGCTCACTCGAGTGTCTATGTATGTGTGTGTGTGGTGTGCGTATGTTCTGTGGGCATGGCCAGGACACACCTACGCCCCTACGCCCACACACAGCAGGCAAAGCAGGCAGGGCAGGCAGCTCGCGTTGTAGTATAAGCAGTCACTCATAAGAACTACCAAATAGATCAACAAAACATTTTTATAAACATGAACGGCAAGCATAGTCGCTTCGTCGGCGCTGCGCTGCCGCTATGTGTGCACATGCATTCGTACATACGTATGCATATCTGTGCTTATCATAAGCCGAAGATGATGACGCCACGACGCTGATAGCAGATCGGCTCAGCTGCCGATATCATGCCAAACCTGAAGCACTGACCATTCCAATTAGCTACTAAGCTAAATATACTAATAAAGAATATTTCGAAGTTGCCTGGCCACACGGCAACTCCGACTAAAACAACAAAATCACTTATATTACAGCGTGTTCCCTTTGATGCGCGTTGCAAGTTTTTTAGCCCCGCTTGAAATTGTAAAAGTTTTGTGATTTTTTCGCCGGCCTTTGGGCGCGCATTGTCAGCATTGTTTGGCTCATACTGCCGCCCGCTCTTGATGCTGCTTCTGCATACTGGCTGCGGCTGCTGCTCCTGCTCCTGCTGCTGGTTGGTGCCGTGTCTAATTTCTGTTTTAAATACATAGTTGATATCGTTGGCAAAAGTTGCAAATTGTGCTTTTGGCTGCTGCTGCTCCATCCACTGCCACTGCCACTGCTAACTATTTTGAATAATGCATAAATGCAATTTGCAAGTTGAATCGAGTGTGGTCGTGTCCTTTACGGTGTTTCGGTGAACCCGGACTTTTGGGTCTCACGCGAGAGCCACATATGGCGCCAGCCGGACGCCAGTCAGCCAGCCCAATGCTACTACCCTTACTCTTATAGTGATTTATGTTCACCGAGTCATCGATTGCCAGTTAGCATTTATGGCACTTTGGGGGATTGCCTCTGCTTGGGGCGACCCTGCTGGACGGATGGCCATCAAGTATCCAAAATCCCATCGATGGCACTTGCTTCCGGGCATCGTTTGGTCGGAATTGTTTTAAATGTCTGGCGGCTGGAGAACTCCCACATTTCATTCGATCCAAGGAACCCCTGACGCCTAGAGCCTAGCACTAGACTTATTTAGATTCTTTTCTACTATCCCAAACACATGAACAAGATGGAACCGAACGTCGAGGAGCAGCCCTTCCAGACTGTGCTCCCAGCGGCACTCTCTGACAAGAGAGGCTCGCAGGTGACTGAAGCTTCCTGGAGGGCCGCACAGGACGCAGTTGTGCGGGTCGAGAAGGTGTTGAAGTCGAAGGAAAAGGATGTTGAGGCACTGCTGGCTTCCATCGACAAGAGGGACAATCAACTGATGATCACGGCGACCAATAAGATCAGGAAGACGACAAAGTCAAGGAAGAACAGAAAATCCACGAAGAGTAATTCCTTCGAACGGTCTCAGGGCAGGGTGAAGCTGAACCACAGCCAGAAGCAGCTTCTCATGGCACAGGTGACGTGTCAGATGCGTCTATCGCGTCACAAGCTAGCGATTATCGATATGGGACTGGTGCTGCTGACCAGCGCTCTGGTCTCCTGCGCCTGCCTGTGGGAGAAGGCTGCGCTGCTGCTGTCCAGCTGCCTGCTGCTGTGGCCACTCTTTTGGTCCATTGTCCTCGCCACCAGCGGCCGCGTGATGGGCATGAAGCTGGTTGGATTCGTCCTCTCGCTGGCTGCTGCCGTCGCCACAGCTGAATTTTGTCCCTATTTGCCAATTGACTTGAACCACTACACCATGGTCAGCTCCTACGAAGCCATCTTCAAGATATCTTGCACAATCATATATGCCCTCTCAGGCATCGCTGTGGCCAGTGCCGCCATGCGAAGCACTTCTGGTGGGGCCGTGGGGCGCGCAATTCTTTGGGGCTTCCTGCCGATAGTTCCGTTCGCCAACCTGTTATGGATCCCGGCCACCGGAAACTGGCGCTGGAACGAGTACTGCACCGATCGGACAGCCAGCATAATGCTGGCTGCGCTGGACATGATCTTCGTGCTGCTGACCATCGTGGTCATCCGGAGCGAGCACAGCTCCAATGACGGTACGGTTTCTTTTCTAACCAAGGATGAGCTAAAATTAGTTCGATCTGACACATTCAAGTACTACCGAGAGCACTACGCTGCCAAACATGGAGATGGAGGCAAACAAAAACCCAAACAGCGTTTTACAGCCACTTGTAAGCAACAAAGGAGGGGCAGGAGGAGCACAAGGCCCATAAGGCTTAGCTTCCTCAATCGTTCCCCCAGATATTTTGTTTTAAATTTGTTGGTATAATGTAAAATAAAGGAACCCTTTAGCTGTCAAAACCATTTCGAATTACGAGCTGCTGAAGGGGTACAATTAACGATCAGCTTCTAGGCTTAAACATACTCGTACTATTAGCCAAATTTATGCAACATTACTAGTACAGTAGCCCTAGCCCAAGCTGGTAGGGGCTTCGGCTGTCGAGGCACTGCCGGTCGGAATTCAATGGTTCATATAAAAATGTAAAGTGCATCATCACGTGAGAACGGCTGGGCAGATTTGGTTTAAACTTTTATTCAGTTGTTCGTATTTGCCAAAAGAATGTTCTTACGAAAGAAAATTTGGAAAAAAAACCAACCTACGATCGATGTATTTGTTTCTTTTATGGAAGAACGCGAAGAGCCAATTGTCATAGTTGAAGATGAGTTCTAAGCTCGAGATATGAGTTATAATATGCCTGCTATTAGAGGATCAAACCTTGGACGATGTAAACGTTGTGAAATAAGTAATCGGAAATTTATATACTGACTGAGTACGAGTATAAGAGTAGAGTCGCGTCCACAGAAGCGAATCACGTCACACGTCTCGTTGTAAATGTAATTACACATTATTTAGATGTAAATATTTCTGTCAGTCTTAAAAAGGGTATTTAAAAACAAAACAAAAGAGAAGAAATATTGGTTTCTCCATCGATTTTTTATTGCTTCAAATGGCTTGGCTATTGGACTACTCTTGGGGATCTTGCCTTCGTTTTAGTCCTCACGATAATTGACTGAAGACAAGCGGGATCGAAGGCGACGAGTGTTTGGTGGTGGTGGTGGTGTTGGCTCGATAGAGCGCTTGCTCCGATTACGCGTATTCATCGAAACCTGTGTATTTGTCACAATCTGTAAATCCTCCAATGTGATGATTGTGCGATTGGCACTTTTTGCAATGGCCTGGGCCTCACGGAGTTTATTTCGTGCCTCATCTGCAACAGGGTGGTGCAGGATCTAGATCGGTTTCTA